CGAGGGCCGTGATTGGTACGTGATCTGCCCTCGCTCAAGGGAAAACCTCCAGCTTGACTTGAGACCGCCCCCCGTGATAAATAAATGTAATTATAATGAAGCCAGCTGCAATGGATCATTGATCCACCAGGGGGTGCAGTGGGGTTCCACACTGGAGCTCATGTGAAATAAAGTCAGATACAGTACACTGGATTAGTGATGGGAATTCCGGCTCTTCTTGGTGAGCCAGATCATTTGGCTCGGCTCACCAAGAAGAGCCGGCTCTTTCGGCTCCCAAACGGCTCTTCAGTTTACCACATATTATACCTTTTAATTAAATCAAATGTAGCTCTGTTTTTGACTAATGATTTATATGTGTACACATATATCACTTAAATTATTAAATACATCCTTTGTACTGAAGTATTCAAAAGTAAAAAATTACATGTTTAATATAAATGATTTGCTGTGGCAAATTGTTTTCATTGCATTTACAGACCCGTGTAACTCTCTGATACCACCCAATGAATTCATTGACTTGCTTGTAGAACCATGCTACACAAAACAGATAGCAACACCTATAAAAACTATTTTAAAAAAGGGGCTACTGTATCGACCTATATAAAGTATATAAATATAGTTTTTTTTTCAAAATACCAAAAAGATCCTGCATTTTAGCCATGCCTCATTTCGCTCTATGTGCTCTTTCCAGCGCTGTTTTTGCAGGGGGCTGATTCTGTGAGCTGCAGCTGACCACGCCCCCCTGCAGGAGAGGGGAGCGTGCTTTGAGATAAGCTGCATGGGCTGTCAGAAGAGGGGGAGAAAAAGAGACCTCCGTTTTATTCTTATAGAAGTAAGAAGAGAAGTAATGGGGCAGAAACCCTCCTTTTTACGCAGCGGTCCAGACATAGACATCAAACGGCGACACATATTCAGTGTGCAGTTACTTTGGCATTAGGGCAGGGATATCTAGATACTTTCCAAGGTTTGACATAATGAATTGTGCTACTTTTAAAGCAAGCAACGATGTTTTCAAATCTGTAATCAAAAAGCTCCTCAAAAACACTATTGAAGCAGTTCCTGCTACGTTAGTTCAAACAGTAACAACGGACTACTTTTCTTAGCGGATGCATGTCAATTTAAATCAATACATAAAACTATTTTTTAAATCAATAAAATCATTTTCTAAATCCATAAAAACATTTAAATAAAAAATTGGGAGTCATGTCGTTACTTTGTTGAGAATGTGGCCATGTGTAATAAGCGGGATAATGTGCACATTGCATAATGTGCCTTCATGCCGATCTAGATCCCTCCGCAAAAAAGAAAAGAAAAAACGGCTCGTTCGCGGGCGAGAGCCGGCTCCCGTCGTTCACTTAAAAGAGCCGGCTCTTTGAGCCGGCTCGTTCGCGACCGACACATCACTACGCTGGATGTACAGCGGAACTTTGTTCAGATCCATATGTCACGGATATCATACTCTGCTCAATAAGAGACATGTAACCATTTACAAAACATCACCATGTTGTTATTGTCGAAAAAAACGAACGGGAGGAAATACAGCCCGGCTCTCGATTTTTAATCCTAATTTAATCATCATCTTCACCACGATCATTTATGTTTATGTTCGCCGAATTGACATGAAATCACTGACACATATGAATATACTGTATTCAACTTCATTAAAACGTTATTAGTGCCTAAACTCAGTAATTCGCTAAAACTATTTATATTTCAATGGAGCCTCGTCGGCAGATCTTGATCAGCATGAATGGTGTTATTTTCCCCATAAGGATCAAGTCGCTGCAAATTATCCCGCTTATTACGTGGCCACATTCTCAACAAAGTAACGACATGACTCCCAATATTAATTGAAATGCTTTTATGGATTTAGAAATTGTTTTTATTGATTTAAAAAATAGTTGTATTGATTTAAATTGACATGCATCCGCTACGAAAAATAGTCCATTGTTACCGTGTTTTAGGCCCCGGCCACACGACGACGAAAACGGTCGTTTGTGTTATTGTTTAGTGTCATATAGACCGTTCGGCCACACGAGGACGACCGAATACGGCACTAAACGACTGCGGAAACGATAACGGGTCCCAAGGTGGATAGAACGGCATACGCAACGCTCTGGGGGGTCCAACGGCTCCGTGTGTACGCCCTATACGATCATTTTCTGATAATGATGAGGCAATAGCCCCGCCTCCCCACCTCTGCTGCTCACCCCCGCGTCAAAGTAAACTGCACACTGAATTCAGATTATTTAGCTTTCTCTCGATATGGACATAAACGCGAGTGAAGTCTAATCTGACAGGACGGAGACACCTCTCAAACTACCTAAACTAGATATAAATATCTTTATTTTTACTGTCGGCCGGGTCACTCATTACTGGATCAGCTGCTGCATGAAACAGACACTGACGCTGTCCGAAGAGAGGGAGGAAAAAGAGAGGCTCCATGTATTTTATTATTATATTATATAGATTCGTTATTCATTTGTTTTAAAGCTCAATAAATAACAAAGAAGACCTTTGACCGGCACTTTTATAATTTTGTCCGGAAGATTTAAACTTTAATACACGTTGACTGGCGAAAAACTCTGCCCGGTTCCCTCTGCCCCCACCGCGGAGAATAAACAGAAGGGCAACCATGACAACCATGCTTCTTCGCTGCTTTTGTGGAGGAAGTTACAGCGCAACGTACAGGCTCCTGCATATGTAATGAAAGCGCAAGTTCAATAAGGAAGACCTAACATGAGTCACTTACACGTTACTCTATTGCTCCCTTCCCCCCTCATTAAATACGAGGGTGTCACCCCTCAGCAGCCAATTGCTGCACAGGCTAAATACCTTAAATACCTGCTCTTCCTCCCTGTCAGTTGTCATTTCAGGTGACTACACGCAACCCGCCTCCACCCCTCTCGCCTCCCGTCTCCTCCAGGACAAAGCTAAACTTCCTTCTTCAGACCGGTCCCACCTACTCATCACCACCACCAGTGTCTAGACCCCGGGGATTTCATCGGAGCGGTTCTTTCCCTCCTGAATAATTATCCTGCAAACCGGGGCCTAATCGCCAAACACCATTACATTCTCCTGTTGTATTATCATGGCAATCATTTCATTCATATGACGTGTAAACAATAAATATTTATTCCTTACATCACGTCTCTCCGGTTTGAACTGCAGCTTCTCCAGCGGTTGGAGCTAAACGGAGCTGTCTCGTGTGGACAGACACTATCCGGTGAATATTGCGTGTGGACAGAAGCTTTTTTGCATTTGCGTTAATCCTATGCGTTTAGCCGTTTTCGTCCTCGTGTGGCCTTAAACAGTCTGAATGAAACGGCAGCTCTCAGCTGTGTATTTACACAACTAATGGCCAGCTAATGGCCCATCAACAACAGCTCTCTCCCCCCCTCCCCCCTGATCTTTCTTCTCCAGCAGCTAAATTAACTGTAGGTTTAAACGCAGACTTGTGTTCCTCCATGTTTCGTTGTTATTGTTTCACTGAGCGGACCCGCACATTTTTTTCAAACGCTCCCTTTTTTGGTCCATCTGCGGCGGTAATAGGTTTTGTGCGCTGTGATGATTCGGCTGTTCCGTTAGTAATGAATATTAAATGTTGTGAGGAAATCTTTCCACCAATAATTCCAATAAGTAATCCAAAATGTATTCACTTCAGGTTTACGAAAGTAACTGTAAGAGACTTTAATATTTTATTGAAAAAAATTACATTGCACACACCACATTATACACCACACAAATTGACGGTTCTAGTGTAAAATAAACTCACTAATTAATGAAACCAGTTCAATACGTATTATTCTTATTCTTATCATTCTTTATGAGCGCAGAAATAGTCTTAAAATCAGACCTGTTTTGTTAAATGAAATCTGACTGCAGGCAGTTAGCTCTGATCACCTAATGATAAATGCGCCACACCTAATCGCTGGCCATTCAGCCACAGAGCTCCCTCTATACAAATCAAACTGTAGACGGTGTGAAAGCACCTATTGTTTTAAATAATGGTCGGAATGTGACCTGTGAGCCTTCTGAATTACCGTGGGACAGCACATCCTAAGCTAAAATGTTCAATCAATAAAGTAACATCTTATCTTAATAATATCTTCATATTAATAATAATAAAGACGAAATCAACACACGGCAATTCAAAGTGCTTTACAAAAAATGAAAGACATTAAGAAAATGGCATTTAAAATCAGTCATTAAAAAGATAATAAAATAAACATTAAAAGAAAAAATACATGGATCAAAGTTACAGTGCAGTCTAAGATATGAATAGTTCAATTAAAAGCAGCGACAAAAATAAAAGTCTTCAGCCTGGATTTAAAAGTAGTCAGAGTTGCAGCGGACCTGCAGGTTTCTGGGAGTTTGTTCCAGATATTTGGAGCATAATAACTGAATGCTGCTTCTCCATGTTTAGTTCTGACTCTGGGGACAGAAAGCTGACCAGTCCCTGAAGACCTGAGAGATCTGGATGGTTCATAATTTAGCAGGAGGTCAGAAATGTATTTTGGGCCTAAACCATTCAAAGCTTTATAAACCAGCAGCAGTATTTTAAAATATATTCTTTGACACACAGGAAGCCAGTGTAAAGACTTCAGAACAGGAGTGATGTGATCCACTTTCTTAGTGTTAGTGAGGACACGAGCAGCAGCGTTCTGAATCAGCTGCAGCTTTCTAATAGATTTTTTTAGTGAGACCTGTGAAGACACCATTGCAGTAGTCGAGTCTACTGAAGATAAAAGCTTAAAATCAGACCTGTTTTTTAAATGAAATCTGACAGCAGGCAGTTAGCTCTGATCACCTAATGATAAATGCGCCACACCTAATCGCTGGCCATTCAGCCACAGAGCTCCCTCTATACAAATCAAACTGTAGACGGTGTGAAAGCACCTATTGTTTTAAATAATGGTCGGAATGTGACCTGTGAGCCTTCTGAATTACCGTGGGACAGCACATTCTAAACTAAAATGTTCAATCAATAACATCTTATCTTATCTTAATAATATCTTCATATTAATAATAAATCATACAGTATATGTCCGAAAGGGAGCAAGACGAAGCAAACACAAATATACAACAAAAATACTGCATATTAAAGCAAACGATTGTAAAGGTAAAAGTATGAGCATAACAAATAAAGAAGTGTAATGTAAACATTTACATTATTATTATGATTATTTAATATATAAAGACTATATATTATTGAATTACAAGATTAGATATACTTTATTTGATCTAAAATATGTGTTCAAATGCTCCTCAAAACACAACTGAAAGTGCTGAAAGTTGTCTTTCTGTATTTGTGAATGAAGCGCCATCTCCTGGTTAAAACCTGAAATTGAAAATCTGGCAAAGCCCGCTTGGAAAATAGTGGGAGGGCTTAACATTCCTCGATACTGGTCTTAGGCAGGTCGTAGGCAGGAAGCTGTAAGCTGGAGTCTGAAATGAGGTGCTACATCTGTATGTTCACATTGTCAATTTGAAGGAGCAGTGTGCAGGATTTAGTACGTCTAACAATGGGGATGTAGGTTCCAACCAATGGATAACTTCTTCACTCACCCTCCTAACCCAAGTTTGTAGGAGAATGTATATTGGCTGCAAAAAACTTGATGCCCAATCATGTTTCCTCGGTCCATTCTGCGCTACTGTAGACGTGGCAGTGCAACCTAGAGGACAAAAAGATCAGAATCAGAAACGGGTTTATTGCCAGGTAGGTTAACACATACGAGGAATTTGACTAGGTGTCGTTCATACAAATAAATTTTTTTAAAAAGTACACAGATAGCGAACTATATTAAGAACACTGTATTGATGTTTTCAACAGTTAGCTTTTGTTAATTTGACCTCGAGCCAAACTTGTGAGACTTGTTTCTGAAATCCCTTTCTCTTAAAGTGAATACATTTTTTTTTTTTAAACAATGGAGCTTACCCTAAAACTAACCACTGGATTGCTTGTCTAACATGACCTAGTCCATAAATGAGGTAAGGGTGGGAACAATCAAACGCACCCTCCCAGGAACTGCGTGTTAGCGAAGTACAACTGGGATTTCGAAGAGGAAGATATGCTTGGTCAATTCTTAAGAAAAAAGAAAAACCAACAAATTGAGCACTTGAGTTTTCATTAGCAGCGCCTAGCTACAGCTGCGGAGCTTCGGTCAATACCGCTAACTATTTCCTTAAAATGGTACATATCGCTGAATCTATATTTTCATCTTCAGGTGATTACATCTGCATAATGTCCCTGTACAATAAGATTCGAGCATTTTCTAATCCAGTGAGGAAATTCAAGACCAGTAATTATTGATTGATTAAACAACACTAAATAAAATGTTAGTGTTTTCTTCAAACTCAGACTCTCTGCTGCGGCTGTACCTCAAAGACAAAACAATTGTCTGATGATCTTTGTTGAACAAGGTCTGATTGTCCTGTACATGTACAATGTGGGGTATTTTTAAATACTTTACTAAACCACATTCAATATTATGTTAGACACAAGTTAGTTATTACTCACATATTCCATCTTTCTTTCTGTCTTTCCATCTGCAAGATGGAAGAATAGCTGGGTGCTGCCTGGAGAGACTGATGAGGGACACAGGCTGGCGTCAGCAGCTTTCCATCACATCTTCTCTTCCATAGTCCTCACTGTCCACTGGTGCTCTGTCAAAAGAGTGAACATCACAGCTGTCATGCTAACCTTTTGTTACACAACATACAACCAACATGTGTCAAAAGTGACCCGAATTGGTTTTAATTGTAAATATCTTTGCAATAAATTACTTGAACCATTCAGGATTCCAGGTATTCCTCAATTAACCTGTTTTGGATCAACACCAATTCTAATTTTTATTTTTCCCTTTCTTACTTTTTGAATAAAAATCATTGTATCACTACACTTCTAAGGCACAACATGGGTCACACATTACCTGTATTATTTTGCTATGTTATTTCATGCATGGCTGAGTGTTTCTTTACTATACATTTTCAAAAATAATTATTTTTATCAGTGATTTGGACCAAGCATGTATGATGTAGTAATACAAAAAGTATTTTAGTTCACAGTGTGACATTAGCTAGTCATGTTAGCGTGTAATATATAGAGCAGAGCTAACTAGCAAGTTAGCCGAACGTTAGCGGTTAGCTGTTTATGCTATGCTAGCTGTTGGCTACTGAACATTAACAAACTAGATTCCACTGTAAGAAAGCTGTGAAACTTTACATTACACTTGGCGCCAACACTGTGATACCCCACTGCATGTTTATGTGTAATTCTCCCGTGTTGGAGACGAGAGTGTGGGGGCAGCACTGCAATAAGCTGTAAGCTAACGTTAGCAGCTACATGTTAAGCCGGGTTTCCCGGGCGCACCAACATCTTGCAAGAAACAGCATCAATTTAACATTTAACAACCTATTAATGATGCATACCAACTTAACGGGAAGAAACTCAGCTAACTAGAAGAAGAAACTTAACCTTAAATAAAAAATAAAACATTCACAAACTAAGGATTATCTAAATACATGTTTAACTCCATTACAGTTGCAGGACTCACCAGATCTCAAGTCTTCTGTTCTTTGTTGACGTCCCGATGCTCATATTTAACGTGTAGATGTAAAACGATCCCGATATTAATCCATAAACTCCTGCAGCAGACACACAGACAGCTGTAGCTCCAGCAGGAGGAGACCCGCTCAAACTGACTTGGATGTTTCAAATGTGAACGACAGGCGCGGACAGTTCTCATTGGCAGGTTTCTTCTACGTTTATATGAACCAATCAGGAGTGTTGTGGACTAATTCCAAACATGCCTGACTTGTCTGCCGTGTTTTGGCTGAATTATATTTCAAGTGCCGTAGCTCTGGCTGTCGGCCAGAATCCGAAAACCATATATTATACTGTAAAACTAAGGTTTATTACCAATGGAAGAAAAAAACACAGCAACAGAACACATAAATAAAACAAGGATAACTGTGACTAATTGTTGAGTAAATAACAGTGTGTGTTTTAAACCTTGGTCCTCCCTGCAGAGATTTCTCCACTTTCTATGATTTTTATTTTTTTCAACTGTAGATGTTTACAATATAGTAAGTTAGGAATTTAATGAAAACATATTTATTTACTTTTGTTTCAACATTGGATATTTTGTGTTTGTGGTGGATTAAATCGAATATTGAGAAAATTATTTATGCAAAAATGTTTTACTTACATTTTAAGTTGTTTTTATTTGACGCTTTTTTACAGTTGTATGTTTACCTTACAATTACAAAGAAATATCTTAAAGTCTTATAATAGTAATACACTTTTATATTACGAGTTATATATTTAATTACAGATAATACTTTTTATTTTACGTACATCTGCATGTATTTTCTGAAAGTGCAACAATACTGTAAATATTATATAGTAAATTTACTGTAAAAAAAAAAGGAAATAAACGTTATTTGTTGTTGTCAAAATACTTAAAATAATGTTTTGGGTTGTTAATTTATAGTTAATATCTGTCATTTTACAGGGTTTTGCAAGTTGATTAAAAATACATGATAATTACTATAAAAATGTACAGTTATTTCCTGTAAAATTACGATCTTTTTTTACAGTGTACCTTGCCCTCCAGCCGTGACAGTTTCGATCTTAATAGAAAAGGTGAACTTGTCCGTCTTTTTGTATTTAAAGTAACACTTGTTTTTTTCTCACCATTTGTGGTCTGAATGATGAATCCATCTTGTATCTCATCATAGACAGGTTGTGTTTCTTCATTTCCTGTGAAAAAGTTAGTGAATGTCACTTGAAGAAATCAACTGCGTAATCACTGATTATTTGCTTTAAAGCCTGATGACAAATACAAAGATAACTCCGAGTAGATCGCAGTGACACCAATTTCTCTACAAAATAAGTACAACTATACCCTTAAGATCAGTTTTCATGCTGAAAGTTTAAAACTGCTTTTTTATTTATTAGCTGATCTTCTTAAATTTGCATTAATGAATTGCCTTTTTTCCCTTCTATGTGTATACAGGACAGGTTTTTGTTACCACGTCTTTTAAACCTGCGACTCCAAGTAAAGAAGACGATGGTGATGATGAGGAAGAGTAACAAGACAACTGTTCCTAACACCAAACCAATAATCTGTGGTTGGTATGTAGAAACCACTGGAGAAAAAAAAAGAAAGAAGGAAAAAAGTCTATATTAAAACACATAATGATATGTCATTAAAGAAACATTTGATCAGTGTTGAAATGTAGCCTATTGAAGCAATACATCCCTCAGAGCTTGCTATATTGACCGTGAAAGCTTGCCACTAGAAAGTCTATTTGTCTCTTCAATAGTGAATGATCAACAATACAGAGTGCATAGGATCTTATGAAGCAGTCTATGAGCAGGATACATGTTTTTTTGGCTGACTCAGCCGGCAACAATACTTACACCTCTCCAGCAGGCTATTCTCCACATATTAACACATTAATGATTTTTGAAGCGTAAATGCAGTAGGAAAAAGCTAACGTTAGGCTGTAAACAAACTGCATCATGGTCACATGACTTCACGTCACCTCCACTAAGCTAAAAGTGGCTAATGTATGGGGGTTATTCCCTATCTTTATTCAAGAACGTGGTATTTAAATTTGAGAGCATACTTTATTGATTTATTTCCCTCAAAAACCCTGTCCTCGCACTCAAATAGTGCCTGCTTGCACTTAGATTTGCTCTGCTTCTGCTTGCTATCAGATATATTGCTGCTTACAGATTTCCTGTGTTCCAGTTTAAAACCTTCTCCTCGCACTCAGGCTGTTTCTGTGCGCTCGTGACATTTCTGCTCTCAGATTTATTCTGTGAGCGCTCGAAACTTTTGTGCAACAATCCTGTCAAAATCCCTCAACCAATAGGAGGCCAGGGGGGTATACTACGAAGCAGGATTTTCGCTTAGCCGGCTAAATTCAGGGAAAACTCCGGCTTTCCGGTCCTACGAAGCTGGTTCTCTTTTTAGCAGGCTAGATCTCCATGGTAACTTATGTTTAGCGGCTAACCTGGTCGGGACCAGGTTAGGTTGCAGGCTAAGAGCTCAACTCAGTGAAAGCACTGCCTGCTGACCAATCAGAGCTCAGTGTGCGGAGTTTAAAGCGATCAAGTCATATTACAGGAGAAAGGAAATACAGAAAAGCTGCCGTTGCAGGAAAGACGGCCGGCAAACATCACCGACTGTGTGAATGTGAACATTAATAGAATATCACCTCCATCTTCAGAGCAATCTGACTATTATAACATTAGCGTTAAGAAAGCTTACTTAAATATCTGCCACAACATAAGTAACCGGATCAGAGTAACATTACGTACAGTCCGCGGCATATCACTTCATAATGTATCATATATTTCCCGATCTTAGTCAGCTGAGCCGTATCTGGCCGTGCAACACTCACAGTGTCACAGACTGTATGCAGAAGTATTATTTTAAGCAACACATTAAGTTGACGAAACACTGGAGTCAAATGTAATGAAAGTCAAATCGTGTTTTAGACGGGGCATGTGATATCATAAACCTGTTAATGTACGCATTCAAACACTTTTTCTTTTGCCAGCTGTATTCACCTTGCAGGTGATGTGGCTTTTATCCTGGATCAAGTGTTTAAGTCATGGATGTTTAAAGTTTAACTTCTTCATTTTTGACTAGTATTAAAGTTCACTTTTCATTCAGGAAGTATGACGCTGCACTGTCAGTACGCTTCTCCATGTTTGTGATTGGTCGAATGCTCCAGATACCACCCCTTTCATGTGAACGCGCACCTAGCTAGATAGGACACGGCTGGCTTGAGCGATCCACTTGATAACCAGCGTCGTGGTACCGTTTAGCGAAAGCGCGTATGTTTTGGATTAGGCCAACCGGCTAACTCAAACATATCCAGGTTAGGTTGAACCAGCTTCGTAGTATAGGCCCCAGGTGTCCTTGCGGGTGCGTTCGCTTGACTTATTACACGTCCCGTAAGGGCGGTTACTCTTTGGTTTATAAACTCCCGCCCTCCACGGCTTTATAACATAACATGTGCTTCACTGTAGGCCTACAACTTTTTTTGGGGGGGAGGGGGAGTAAGCACAGTTAGTATATGTTTATAAAGTCAAATCAAGCAATCTGATGTTTCTTAGCCGTGATATAATGAGCGTATATCACGGGTATAATTGTAGTTACTTTGCACAAGTCAGTATCCCTCCACGTCTGAGAACGGTTAGGGTTAGGGACAGAGGGCTGCTGTGCCTCCTGTCATCATTAATGGACGTCTCTTTAAAATGACCGCCCAGAGGAGGGGATTTCTCATTTCTCTAAACGCATGGTGCTTCCACTCCTCTCTCCTCGGTTCCCCTCCTCGACTCCTCCGCTCGCATCTCCTGTGGGCGGGACTAAGACACGAGGATAGGAGTCGAAGAGGGGAGTCGAGGAGGGGAATTAGAGAAATTAGAAAGGGCCTTAGACTTTGAGAGGAGGGAACCGGAAGTGCTAAAGTGCTAACACATTTTGGGCTTTTAGGACTCATTCCTGCACTTTATTAGTAGCTCGTGTGTAATGCATCCTGGTGCAATGCATCCTGGTAGCTGTAGACACACACCTCACAAGCAAGAGGACTTTTTCACAGTCAATATAGCACGCATTGAGAAATGACTTGCTTTATTTAATGACATTATATAAAAGGTTAGGTGCCTATGTAATCACAAAACATTTACATACACTGCTAGATTTTGAGGTTTTATACACATTTTCTGTCATGATTTTCTTTAGAAAGACTTAAGTCCTACCAGTGCTTGCCACCATTGTTGTTGTGGTTGGTGCTGTTGTTGTTTTTGGTGCCGTTGTTGTTGTTGTAGTTGGTGCTGTTGTTGTTGTTGTAGTTGGTGCTGTTGTTGTTGTTGTTGTTGTTTTGTTTCTTTTCGGTTTCTTTGTACCTTCTTTGTAAGATTACATAGTTTAGTATCTATTTTTACCAGCTCTCTCAGATTGATCAGCTTTACATACATGTGTTTGCATATTAAGATAATCTTACTGTTCTTGTCATTTTTATTTCCACTTTTACGGCTTTGACTTTGTTCCTGTGTTTTTGTCGTAGTAGTTGGAGGGGTTGTTGAAGATAGAGGTGCTGCAGCTTGATAGAGTGATAGAGATGATACAGGCCACAAACAAGCACTTAACCACAGAAAGTCAACATGCACCGATTTAAAATAGAGGACATGCTGTGGTCTTATATATGGCATTTAGCCAAAGTGTTTTCACGACCTAAACCAGTCGAACCCAGAATCTATTATTCTACTTGACTTAACACATTTAAAATACCTGGCAAAGGTTTTATTTGGAGGTAGCATGCCCTCTTCATTTATGCTATTTGTATGCACTTAATCTCAAGATTTTAAGATTAATACCACTCTCATCTGTACTGGGAAGCTAAATCTGGTTAGCCTAGCTTAGCATATAAGAAACATGCCTGTAGAAATGCACTGCTGTACTCTCTCTTACTTCCACCCATATTTCTGCATTCCTCTCTGACTCTCACCTTCAATCACTTTCAGAAAAACAGCTTTTCTACCACAGTAGTAGAGTCCAGAGTGACGTAGCTCCACGTCTGTTAAGGTCAATGCCTGGTCAACAGGTGGAACATCAAAGCCTTTCTGTCGATGTATCTCAACAGAGTCTCTGCTCCATGTTGGATCATGTGATGCTCCATCATCATGAGGGCA